GGCGGCCCCGAGCGGCGCGCTGTCGCGTCGCCGTGCAAGTCTGCTTTTATTTCGCCGGGGCTGTCCACTCTCCCCGAGCGCGCAGGAGATCTTCGTCGTCTTCGCGTTGCAGCAGAGCGATGGGCCCCGCGCAGGGGCCTCGCGGACCTCGCGGGCAACTTGCCAGCGCACTTCTGCAAACTACCAGCGCTTGTCGAGTATCTGGCGCAGGCGACCAGCGCTAACAACACTCCCCCTGCTGCGGCGGCAGCCAAGACTCTTCTTCGCGAGCGCCCTGCTGCTCGGCGATTGGTTCAATGAACGGCCCAGAGCGCCCTTCTTCGCGATGTGATAGGCCCTTTTCTGGCGGATGTCACCGACCGCGACCCCTCGCTGGTCGACGCCATCATTCGCCGCTGGACCAAGGGATTTCCGCATAAGAGCACCGAGCCTCGTGGGCTACCGTGGGCTGCCCTTCAGGAAGCTCCGGTCGTTCCCCATGGCGCGGGCTTCATCTACGTTGTGAGGACTCTGCGGTGGCTGGCTTACCTCAGCGAGAATTTCCAGTGCTTACCTCAGCGAGAATTTCCACCCAAATTGGGCTCCGCGCTTGTATCTTCGGGTGCGAGGGATGCAATGATGAGATTGGTCATTAGCGGGCGTGTCGTGGCCTAGCTTGGGGCGTCGCGATGGCCAAGCCGGGTGCCAGGCGCCCGCTCCCCGGCGACGTTCTCGACCGCTGGGGGCCCCCTGGAGCGCGCGACGACGATCTTATGAACACCCAGGTGGCTACCATCATTTACCATGTCCTGCGGCGCCTCGATTTCGTCGTGCTTGGCGCTGCTTCAGGCAGCGCGCGGCGCAATTCAGGCGCGCGCTTGCCCGCCTTTCCGCTGGGGGAGTTCGCGTCTCTAGGCGGCCATTGGTCCCGCAGGTGTATCGTTTCAGCTGGCTGCTTCCGAGGTTTCGGCTGGCTCCTGGGATGACAAAGTTCCATATCTTCTTGACGAACTACCGCTTGGGCACCATGTGCTACATGATCTGCTTCCGCATCGCGCGCGGCATCCAGTGGCATGCGGCGAGCAGGATGTCGCCATCGATGCACCTGTCGGCGCTTGTCAGGTCCTGCTTGCACGGCTGTGGGTCCTCAGTGAACTGGTCGAATCGCGGGCGCGAAACTGGGCGCCGTCCATGTTCCTAGCGGAGTCCCAACGACTGGACTTAGAGGACTGGATGGTCTGGGGCACGGACGTGGTTGCTGACATTTTCGTGTTTCGCGCCTTCACGGGGCTCTTCTCGATTGAGTTGCCACCAGGGATGGATCGAATGGCCCTCAGCTCCGCGATGGTTCACGTGTGCCAGCACGACTCCATAGTCAGTCGGCAAGAGAGCTGCCTGGACATCTCTCTGGGCCCTGGCCTGAGCGCGAACTTTTGCGCCGCTGGGCACTCTGTCCGTTGCGAACAGCATCTTGCCTTCCGGCACTGGCTGCACTCGGAAGCTGCCGTGCTTATTCATGTTCGGGAGCTACTTCTTCCTGCGCGCCCGGGGGGCCGAGAGCTCCGCGTTGCACTGGCGTTCGGTACAGAGGCGGACCATTGCGCTATAATCTCGCGCAGTGAACTCTTAGCGCAGGACATCGAGAAGTTTGGATGCGCGGACTGGGGCCACGAGTACGCCTCCCCGATGAGATCGTGTACGAGACCATTTTCTGCCAGATCCTCCTCTACCTCGGTGGCGCTGTCTTCGTCGCGTTCATCCTCCCGCCCATCCTTGCATCTTAGTGCGCCTGTCCTTGCGCCTGCACTTGGTGCCCCTGCTCATTCTGATGCCCCAGCTGGGCTTCCACGACTCTCCTCCGAACTGCAAGATCGGCGTGATCTGGCGGATTGGGTCTCTGCGCGGGCTCAGCAATGGCCCCCATTTCTATTTACGTGCGCCGTGGGCAGCGAGCTTCAGCAGTGGATGGGATGGTGTGTTCCTTATGTCGCCAACTTGCTGCGGCGCATATGTTTTCGACCACTCTAGCCCACTTCGCCGCGACAGTCCAGCTCAGCACCGACAAGTGCTAGTAGCAGACCGACTCTCGCGATGGAGCTTTGCGCGAGTGGGTGGTACTCATCAGCGATCCCTCGTGCGCAGACACGGATGCGCATTCGCAGTCCTTGGCCGACTCGCGGCCACAAGCGCGTTGTCATCATCCGACGCAGGACGTTGGCGCACTTGCGGCAGTGGAGCTGGGTCGCCAACTTTACGCGCGTGCGCGAATCCGAGCAGGAAGACTTCCGCGCAGTGCAGAGGGCCTCTCCGCCTAGGCCTCCGCCGTCGCAGCTTCCGCACCTTCATCTGCTGCCGCGCCCCCTCTCGCCCAGATTGTGCAACGGGGTCACGGCGGATGGCGAGGGCCCTGATGGGGATGATGATCGAATTGACCGCTCTGGGCACGCTAACCTTACCGACGCCGACATCGCCCTCATGAGCGAATCTGCGACTGCCGATGGCGAGGGAACTGGCGGCCATGGCCCAACTCAACAGCTGCCCTACGAGGATAATGTGATGGACCCGTCGGCGTCGGGGTATTGTAGTGGCCTCAAAACAGTGCCGCCATTCGGGGGGGCTCCGGATTCGGTGATCTTCGCGGCTCTGTGGTTTCCTTTTTCTTCGATTATTCCTGCCCTCTTTCTTCTTTTTGGGGGGGGGGCCTGGAGCAGCCCCGGGGGGGTTGGGTTCGGGGAGGATTCTGAGGGGGAGGGGCATTGGGGGCGGTGGCGGCTAGATCTGAGGGAGGCAACTGGGGCCCCCCCGAAACATTTGGGGGATGCGCAAATCATCGAGAAAACGCCAGATGGGGGACGCCCCCCCCCCCCCTTTCCCGGGGAGGGTCCGGATGCGCTAATCATATAGAAAACGCCAGATGCCCCCCCCCCCTTCCCCTCGTCCCCGGCAGAGCCGCCCCGGCGACCCCCCTCCAAGCAGAGCTGAAGTTCTTGCTTAGGCTCAGGGCTGAAGCTCTTGCTGGGGCTCCTTGTAGCTTGCGCGCCGGATCGGCGGAGTTTCACCACTGTGGTTCTACTCTACCTGGCGCGGAATTTGCGGCGCAACTGCAAGCTGCGATCCGCCGCTCGAGGGGCGGACATGACGAAATCCCCAGAGATACGACGGCGGCGTCGTCTAGCGAGCTGCCTCCGGGCACGCGCCCACCTCTCGCACTTAGCGCTGCTACCTCGGACAACAGCAGTGGCAATGGAGACTTTGACGCAGTCATGGCAGGACATGGGTTCGGCGCTCCTGACGGTTCTCTGGGAGGGGCGGCCGCCGCTCTGGCTGGTGACGTGTCGGTTAGTTTTCCGACGGTGGAGGGGGCTGTCCCCGCGACCGCGCCAGAAGATCGGCGTGGTCATAGCGATTCTCAGGGTGGCCCACAGTGTGGTACGCCGGGTGAAACTCCGACGGCAGCGGGGGCCTTCCCCGCGTCCGCACGCGGAGAACAGCCTCTTGCAGAACGAGGCGCTGGTGGAGTTCACTCTGGCATGTCGGTTGGAAGCCCGGCGGCGGCGGGGGCCTTCCCCGCGACCGCGCAGGTGCATGAGCCTCCTGCTGCTGATGCACATGCTGAAGAGCAGCACTTTGATATGTCGGTTGGAAACCAGACGGCGGCGGGGGCTTCCCCCGCGACCGCGCAAGTGCAAGGGCCATTTTCAGCTGACGCCCCTGTTGAAGCACACGCTGGTCCATGTAATTTGTCGGCTGGAAGTCCGACGGCGGCGGGGGCCTTCCCCGCGATCGCTCGAGGGCTACGGCCTCGTGATGGCGGTCCACCTGGTGAAGGTCTCTCGCTTGCGCCGGTTGGTTGCCCGACCGCGGTGGGGGCCTTCCCCGCGACCGCGCCCCAGAGCTTGCTGATGGCGCTGCGCATCTTAGGAACGGCAGTCTCTGAGGCTGTTCACTCGGCGCTGCAATGCGATGACGCCCCCGCCCTGGCTCTCTCGGGTGCGCCCACGCCCGTTCAGATGCGCGCAGCGGTCCAGTATTTGGACAACGCCTACTCGCTCAGTGCTGACCAGCAAGGGATGGTTATGTGAATGCTGAACAACCCAGGCTTTGTTGCTCGAAGCCTCTTCCAGCTCGCCGGGGCGCCGTTCACCGACGTTCGCGGGTGTTGCGGTGTTCCAGTTCCAGAGGGCTCATACGACGAGGACTTACGCATGACTGCAGCCGCCGACAAGGAGCTCGCTGGCGATGATGACGATTTGCAGGCTGTCCTTCTCCTTGACCACAGCGAGGACGGCTTGGGTGAGGATGATGTTGAGGGGTTGGCATTCCCAGAGTTGATTGCAGCTGCGTGAGCGGGCGATCGCCTGGCTGGCCCTGACGATCACTCCGGCGAGCGGGAATTCGCTGACGGTAAGGGAGCTTTCCTGATGGATGAGCACGACATGACAGAGACGCACCAGCACATCCCCGTTGCGTCCAATGAGCAGGTCTCAAGCTATGGCGGCTACAATGGCCTGGCGTCTGCGACCACCGAGACTTTCCAAGCGCGGGCAACCGCGACTTTGCTGATGATGCTGCGTGCTGAAGCTGATCGTCAGCCTGGCTTCCCCGCTTACCTCGACGGCATTGCCGTCGCCGTCCCTTCTGACGAGGCTGACGGCGTTTACGACTTCGACGACGCGTCCGAGGAGCTGGCGGAGAACGGCTCCGAGGCCCTGAGGGCAGCCCCCGCGGCCGCCTCGGGCGGTGGCGAACGCGCTATCCAAGGAGGAAGGTGGACGGTGCGCCTCCCTATGGCGTTGGATCCTCCTCCTCTTCCTCCTCATCAGCATCATCAGCATCACCAGCAGCAGCAGCAGCAGCATCATCATCATCATCATCATCATCATCATCATCATCATCATCATCATCATCATCATCATCATCATCATCATCATCATCATCATCATCATCGCCATCATCATCAGCATCATCATCAGCATCGTCATCATCCTCATCATCATCCTCATCATCTTCACCATCCGTGAAGGAGGCATCCGACGACGAGACGCTGGACAGCCTCGAGCCGTTCCCACAGCAACAGGCCCATGACATGGAGCCCTTAGAGCATTTCGCCCAGGACACGGGAACCTTAGAGGATTTCGCCGCCCTGCCAAAGGGATCCAGGGTCGCTGGGCACTTAGGGGATGCACCCACGGACGTTCCCACCGTGCTCCACGTGGACGACGACGAGAACAGTCAGGCGCAGGGGCAACGTCAGGGGGGATAGGCTCAGGTAGGGACGCATCGACTCCCAATCGCTGATTCATTGCCGATGGGGGCCCGATGGCCCACCCAAACCAGGAACATGCGGATTCAGCACTGGGGGCACATTGCTGCCGATCCATCCGATATGTATCGCGAAATCCAGCTCGATGCATCTCCCCCTGAGCTGGCCCCCCGTAGCGTTTCCCCTCACAGGCGCTACTGATGAAGTCCCTCGGCGAGGCCTACAACGTCGTGCAGGTCTCCAGCGGCCGAGAGTGCATGGACTACCTTGAGGAGTGCGCCGTGATGCCCGACCTGGTGCTGCTGGACGTCGTGATGCCCAGCATGAGCGGCATCGAGGTGCTGGCCGCGATTCGGGAGTCCCATTCGATGATCAGCCTCCCCGTGGTGATGACATTTGCTGGCAGCTCCGCGGCCAGTGTCGTCAAGGGAATAGAGAACGGCTGCAACGACTGGGTCCACAAGCCGTTCGACTGCGCGGAGCTCCTGGCGCGGGTGAAGTCGCAGATACGCCACAAGGGCCTCGTACAGGAACGGCTAGGGGAGTGCGTCCACCGCGACGTGCTGAGGGCCGCGGTGCTCGCCATGATACTACAAAGCAACAGTCACACGAAAAACACGGAAACGGGTCCCGAGATTTCTCGCCGTTCTCGGTCACAGGGGCCCTCCACGGACCCCCGGGATTGTCAGATCTGTTCCTTGGGAGGGCGCCCAGGGGCCCAGGGGTCCAGGACCCGTTTCCCTCTGGGCCCGCCGCCTCCGTGCCGAGGTGCCCGATTCTTTGTTGCAGCAGCTGCTCGACCAGGCGGGAGTGCCAAAGGCAGCGGCTGGCCAGAGGCGGAAGCAGGTCCGGAGGCGCCCCGCCAGCGAGGCGCCCGTCGGACGCCACGGCACGCCTCGGCGAAAGGGCGCTGATGAGGAGCTGACGGCAGATGCCGCGGTCGCGGCCAGCGCTGCCAAGGTCAGGGACAACGTTAGGGGGGGGGGGGATGGGCTCAGGGTGGACGCGTCGACCCCCAATCGACGATAAGGGGCCCGATAGCCCACCCGCCCAGGAACGTACGGATTCGCTGTCGAGGGCGTATCGAAGATCCGTCGGCGATGCATCGTCCATTCCAGATCGATGTTTCCACCCTCCGAGCCAGTTGTCCCCTATCGTTGGCCCTCGCAAGGCGGAGGTGGAACAGCTTCGGAGCCATGCCAAATCTCTCAAGCAGAAGCAGCTGGAGGAAGACAGGAGCCTGGCGAGGGTGCAGGAGAGGCTGGACCAGTCTCACAGCCAGAAGCAGGGGCTGGAGAGGGAGGTAAAAGAGCTGCAGGGCCGCATCGAGAAGCTTCGGCTCGAGAAGTACAGGAGCGAGCAGTCGCGGCTTGAGCCAGAGGTGACCACCGTGCCAGAACCGACGGTGGCAGAGGCGTGGTCGTCTTCCCCGGCACCAGCGGTGGAGGTGACCGCTGCGGAGCCAGCGACGACCCCTGCTGCGACAACCTTGGCGAACGTGACTGCAGCCATTTCCAAGGCACTTAAGGCGCTGCCAGGTGGCCGGCTTGAGCGACACGATGCCCAGGTCGTGATGCAGCTCTCTCACCTGGCACTGGAGGCTCGGCTGAAGGAGCGGACCGTGGAAGACCTGAGGGCAAAGCTGCAGCAGCAGTCGGCGCTGCTGTATGACACGGAAGAGAGATGTCGGTGGTTGGAGCATACTTTGAGACGGATGCGCCTCGACTCGGCACTGCTTGGCGAGCGCATGGTCGGTGGCCCGATGACTTCCCCAGCGGCAGCGCCCCTAGGTGCTTAGCCTGCAGGAGCGAGGCGTCGGGCACTGTCCCAAGCTCCCAGGGGATGGCGGAAGCGTGAGAGGCGCGTGCTGCAGCTGTCAATATTTTCATAGTCAGTGGCCTTCGGCTGGAGCAGACCTTCAAACGGATGCCCTGTACTCGGTCATGCGTGGCGTGCGCATGGACGGTGGCCTCACGCGCTCCGCGGCGGCAGGGACCCCGTGTGTTTAGCCTGCAGTTGCGAGACGTCGGGTATCCGGGCGTTCCCTCTGCACCGCTGCCCCGATTTCCCAGGAGATGCCAGAGGTGTGAGAGGTACGTCCTCGCCGCGTGTCGTCCATATTTTCATTATATCGAAGACGCCAGCGACGAATCACCGCCGCCCCAAACCGTCTGGAAACACCTGTGCGGTGAAATGTAGAAGATGCAGCTATGCTTGTGGACTGCGTAATTCCCCATGCGCTTTGGGATAGCACTGTGGAGAAGCCCTCCGCGGTCATGTGTGGGCTCTCTTGGGGCTTTATCTGGGTCAGTTGGGCCTTCTCGGGGACTTCTTGGGTCCTTCCTGGGCCGTCTCAGGGTGCTCTCGGGCCGTCTGGCGCCTTCGGAGACAACCTTAGGTGGCTACCTGAACAGCTTGGGGACCTACTGCTGGGTCTTTAGGGCTGTCTTGGGACTCTGTTGGGCCGCCCAGGGGCCCTCTCACATTCGGCCGTCTTGGGTCTCTCTTGGACGCCTCTTGGGGGGCCGTCTTGGGGCGATCTTGAGGACCTCTTGGGCAGCCTTGGGCTTCGAAAGCCCGTAAAGGCTAGAACACGAAAACAGCCGAAACACCCGAAGAGTGTTTGGCGTGTCGCGTATCCCCACCAGCCTTTGTAGCTTGTTTGTTACGTCTTGCGGACGGCGTTCGGCACTTCCGATGCGCTCGCGATCAAAAAGTATCCCCACCAGCCCATCCAGAAGCGATGCTCATGAGAGTTGAGAGTTGCCTGGATGATGAGGTTGGCGGAGAGGAGGAGGAGGAGGAGGAGGAGGAGGAGGAGGAGGAAACCCAGGAGGAGCAGGAGGAAAAAGAGGACCAGGAGGAGGAGGAAGAGGAGGAGGAGGAGGAGGAGGAGGAAGGGGAGAGGAGGAGAAGGAGGGTCAATGTTTGGCATCTCTTATTGTGAGGGCCTCTCGGAGGACTCTTAGGGTTATCTTGGAGTGTAAGTTTGGGCCCTCTTGGGGCTTGCTTGAGACTTTCTCGGGGACCTATTTGGGGTCGTTTGGGGGGGGCGTTGGGGCCCTGATGGGTATTTTCTCAGGTGGTGTCTTGGGGCACTCTCGGAGCGATCTTGTGCGCGCTGGTTCAAAACGGGGGGGGGGGGGCTAATTCGGGTCTCCCCCCCTCCCCCCCCTCGGCGGCCGCAGAAAGCTTTCTTGGGGCGTCATTGAGCGCCGCATGAGGGCTTCTTGGGCCGCCTTGGACCCCTCTTTGGCTCTTCTTCTGGCTCCCTGGGGCCATCGTGGGGCCAGACTGAGGCCTCAGAAGCCCATAGGCGGCGAAAAGGAGAGAAGGCAAAAACCTTATCTTGATCGTAGGTTTTGAACGATGTTGGTCTCTTGGGAGGTTCCCTGGGAGGCCCCGAGAGCCTTTGGAGCCGTCATGGGGCCTCTCAGAGGTACGCCAGAGGCTATTGAGACCCATCTCCCGCTCTCGTGGAGGCCACCTCGTGGCAGCATTCGGGGTCCCTCTGGGAGCTGTCTTGGGCCCCGGAGTGCCGCCTGACACCTCGCGGGCGGGGCGCCCAGACCCAGGGGAGGGATCTCCTTCGATGGCGTGGGCGAACCCCCCCCCAGAAGCACCACCCAGGCACGGGGCTGTGAGGCCGAAGTCAACGGCCGCCCAGATGGCGAGCAAGGCAGAGGCATATCAGCCTAGGTGGTCACACAGGACATCAGCGCTGTTGCGCCCGGAGGCTACGAGAAGGCCCGAGGCGGCCACGGTGCCCTTGCCGGCAGCCTTTGGATAAGCCAAGATCAAAGAACAGCTATTGGTTCTGCGAAGATGTTAGGCAATCTCGCCTTTTCGCCCTCGATGGCCCTGGAGGCATCCAGATGGCTCCAACATGGTCCAAGAAGGGCTCAGGAGGGACCCTGGAGGAGCCCAAGACGGCCGCCGGGACCCCTAGACGAGCGGCCCCAAAAAGGCCCCAGACCCATCCATGTCGCGAAAAGGCTAACAAGGTCCACCCACCCACGAGAGACGAAAAGGCCAACAAGGCCTCAGCATGGCCGAAGAGGTCCCCAAGACGGGACCAAGAGGGCCCCAAGAGGGCCCCATACACCTCCAAGTTGCGATAGGGCCAACAGAGCCCAGCAACTTGGCGCTCATTGGAGCCCAAGGCAGCCCCGGGAGAGCTCAGAAGGTGCCAAGAGGCGCAAAGAGAGCCCCAAAAGAACTTCACAGGACCCCAACAGACCCCCGAATACCATCCCGAAAGAGTACCACAAGCGTCATCGTGCTCCAAGTGTGTACCTTGTGCATGCTCTATCGCCATCTATCTCGTTCGCGCTGTAGCTCGGCCCTGTGCCTCATTCGAATATCATGGTTTAACTAGGCGAAAGTGGGAGGCTTACGGCGTGGGGAAGGGGGAGGGGCAAGCCCCACCCCGAATATGGCAAGAGGGCGTTGCGGAACAGGGCAGAGAAGAACCTTTCATACCACATGCGCCCAGTGGGCTGCTAGGAATCAACGGTGTCAGCCTCCTTGGGGCTTCCTGGAGGCAAACTTGGAGTACGCTTGGGGCCTCTTGGGAAACTCTCAAGCCGTCTTGGAGGCCCGATGGGCCATCATGGAACCGTTTTCCATGCATGCTGGGCCATCTTGGAGGCCCTCTTGGGCCATCGTGGGAGTTTGGGAGCGGGCGTAGCGCACCTGTGCGCTTCTTTCTGGATGGCCCTCGGCCCGACGCCATTGGGTCGTAGACCAGATGCCGTTTGGATGCCGTGGAGGGGGTTATTCGAGCCCTCGTATGTGCCTCGTGAGAGCCTCTTGGTGGATTAATGGGGGTATCTTGAAGGCCTCGAGGGGCTTCTTGGGGGCCTCCAGAGAGCCTGCTAGCTGTCTCGGGGGGGCGTCTTGAGGTAGAGGGCTCCAAGTTGCAGTTCGAGTTCCCCGCCCTGGGCCTCTCTTGGCCTCCTCTTTGGGGCCTCGGGGTTCCCTTGGGCGGGTTTAGGGGGTCTCCTCCGACCCCGCGAGACCATATTGGAGCATCTTATCACGTTGGTGCAAATGAGTCCGAGCCACGGTGCCGAGGCATCCTTGGAAACGTCATGCGAAACTCACTGGAACTCGGGGGTCTGAGCCCATTGAATGGAGTACTGGCAAGATTCCACACAACGAACTCGAAGGCACCTGAGGACACTTCACTCAGTGCCTCGCGGTACGGTGGCGAATTTCTCTTATTTGTCATGAGAGGAACGGCTAGTTTACTGGAGCTCGCTCGCTCTTTGCCTTTTTCTCTCCTTGGATTTTCTTGCGGCCGTTTCGGTCGAGTTTCACGCTCAACGCTGCCCTCTGGTCCCCGATAGCAGGTGTGCACGGTCCTAGCGCGCCTCCAGCACAGTCTGAGCAAGCATGGTATTCATAGTCCGTATTGCCATTGCAATCAACAAAAAACGTGTTTCCACGTCAGTTGTTGCCGCCAATCCCGTTTCTTTGTATAAGGGTGCCCTTTCGCCAGGGTGACCTTTGGTGCTGGCCCAAACGAAGCGCTTGGGAGCGCCCCTCCCCAGCATCCCCGAGGGCGTCTGGAGTGGTTGCCTTTGAAGGGCGAACCCTAAAAAGCAGCAGCGCTCCGAAGATCTTTTCACGAAGGCCACCCTGACGTGGGGAGGGGGTGAGGAGCACGATGAGGAGGAGGGAGGATGGGACGGCGGCCCTTAAACTGCCTGCGGCGAGCCGGTCGAGGTCGAGCGCAAGGAGGCGCCGCTCGTCCTGGAGGCGCAACGCGAAAACTACCCCCCGAAGTTGGCAAACGTGACTGTCCGCTACACCGTTCTGGGAGGCGCGCGCCTTCGCCACTGCCGCGGACGGCGACGGCGCGGTGGCCGCCGAGGGGAAAGCGGACAAACGCCGGCGCTACCTCGAGCGGCGCGCCTTTTGACCGTTGCTCCCGCTGGCCCACGAGACAGCGGACCGCCTAGGCCAGGCCGCGCTGCGGCACCTGCGCTGGCTTGCGCGGGACCGCGCGCATGGTGTGGGCGACGGCCCCGCTGCCGAGGCGGCCGCTGGCGCGCTGGCGCGGCGACGCGGCGCTGAATTCAGAGTTGCGCTGCGCCGGGCCACGGCGAGGAAGCTGCGGTCTTCCATCGGGCGCGACCGCGCCGAGGAGGCCGCGGCCCGTTTTGGCCGACAAGCTGGCCGGGTAGCCGGCAGGGCGCCTGGGCGCGGAGAAGAGCCCTACATCCACGTCGCGCTCTTCCTGCTGATCACCAGGGGTGGGTGTGCTTTGGCGCGCGGCGCAAAGGCTCGTTCGACGCAGAAGGAGGAAGTGGAGGACACTCAGGCGAGACCCCGCTATGTGCAGGATCGACCTTCCATCTTTCTAGCAGAACAGAAGGCAGAGAGGCAGCATGAGAAAGGTCGAGGAAGCGTCCAGCGGTATCCACGTTCTTTTAAGCAGTCGGCCCCATGCGTGTCATCGTTTCGCAACGTCAGAGTTGTAGCCATAATTCGCGCAGAAGTCTCACGCGGGAACCCGAGTTTGATCAGGAGCTGCCTTCCACCAGTGTAACCAATTCGTTGCTTGAAACGTTGACTCGGATAGTGTGGGGCAGTCGGATGCGCAATGTGCATGTTGAGAGTTTGTCGGCCCCCATCATTACAGTTCATGGGGCATGAAACTAATGTGCACAGGGCACAAGGGAGAATCGCATTTTGAAAAAAATGCGCGACATCATGGTAAGTGATGGAGTGTTTGAATTGCACGCGCGAGGCGCACAAAAAGGTAAGCGCGGCGTTAAAGCGAAGGCTGCAGGTTGAAAGACCGCGCCGCCCATCCATGTACAAATTCATGTGCTGTCGCTTCGGGATCGCAAATGGCACGTAAATCTAAAGCGAAACGCCCAGCGTGGCCCACGGACGCGCCTGGTGGTTCGACACGGGAATTATATGAAGGCGGGGGAAGCGTAGGCGGAGGAGGGGAAACGTCTTACGAGACGAACGATGCCCTATACGTGCGGCGTGTTGCTGACAGGTTTGTGTGTCCTCACGGACGGCGCAGACTTGATAACCATCCAACACATATTCTTGTTCATTGGATTTGCTACCCAGTCATATCAACATATAATCGTTTGGCAGGACGATACACAATTTGGCCAGCCTGGGCGAGAGCTGGATGCACATGTGTTTGGACATTTTCCAGCGCTCGGCCCTCCTACGGCCGTGTAAGCGGGGTTTCCGCATGTGCATCCAGCGCCCGGCCTCCACATGTTCCACATGTGTATCCAGGCGTGTGTGCACCCAGCCTCTTGGCCATTGCCACGACGGAAAAAAGTCCTGACACAAGTGGGTTCTGGAAGTTGTTTGCCGGTTTCGGGCCCCCGGAGCCCTGGACCGTTGACAATGGTTCGCGAATCCTGACAGAACCCCTGCCAGCGCCCGTTCCCCTCAGGACCCCTTTTCCCTTCATGGTAAGAGCAGGGGCCATGTGTAGGATTCGGAAGGGACTCGGGGTTCGTTGGGCCTCTGGTTCCGGCGTTCCTTGCAGGTCGGGGCGCAGTTTGGATCAAAATGGGGCTATAAGGGCCCCAGACGGTGCTGTGACCGCACCGTGTGGTGAGTCAGTTGGGCCTGCATACGAAGACACCTCTCCCAAAGTTGTCATGCACTCCGGCGCAGCGAACGCACTGTAGCGTTGCATATATATATATATATATATATATAGTCACGCCCTGCCCACTGACAGCGGTTACGAAAAGCGGCTCTGCTCGCATACGCTTCCTCCTTCCAGCGTGCTGAGTCAGCAGAGAATCGCTGTGGCCGCACGGTTTTGGGACTCGGGTCGTTCTCCGAAGACGTCTCGGGCTCCGAGGTCCCAGAACCGCGCGGTGACGGACAGTGCGGTGGGATCTTGGGGATCTCGAGGTCATCGCACGGTCTGTCAACGCACCGTGGGTTTGGCTTCGGATCGCCGCCACGGCGCGCGTGCTCGAACGGCATGCGCGGGCCGGCAAGCAGCGACACGCACCTGGCAGAGCTCGCCTTTTGCAGGACTGGGCTCGCTCAATTAGGTCGGGCGCTCCGCCCTTCGATTCTCGCCGAGAAGGGCTCGAACTGAGGGCGGTTGCATCGCCGAATAACAAAAACTACATTCCTATGTGTATATATATATATATATATATACATATACATATACATATACACACGCACACACATACATGTGTATATATTGTCAGAGGTCCGTACGGATATTTGGGATCTGCGTTGGATCCCCTTGGCGGCGCCTCCGGTGCCACCCCTGGCGCGCTCCGCGCGACAGGGAGGGGGCCATTGCCGATCCAAGAGATCCGCGCTGACCTTCGAAAGTTTGTGTTTATGTTGGTGTGTCGTCTTCTGGGCTGGCCTCGCGCATCGCCTGTTTGTTGGCGTTGGTTTCGGAACATAACAGACCACTGGCGGTTCTGGGTTCGTCATTCGGTGCCTGTGGCTCGTGGTCCGGGTGATTTGTGATTCGTGGTTGATGGGTCGAAGCTCGTGGTCCATGGTTCGTGCTTCGCGCTTCACGTTTCGCGTTTCGTGGTTCGCAGCTTCACGTTTCGTGGTTCGTGGCCCCTGGCTAGTGGTTTGTCCTTAACATTTCGTGGCTCGTGATCCGTAGTGTGTGCTTCGTGGTTTGCGTATTACGGCTCGCTGCTCGTGCATCGGACTCTTGCTTAGTGATTCGATGTTCTGTGATTCGAGATGTGATAGTCTTGCCGTTTCGCGTATGCCCACCAAGCCATCCAAACAGTTATATTGTTTTGATCAGGGACGTGGGGGAGCATGCAGTAGAACAGAGAGCTGGAGAAGCCAGTCAAATCGAACGCTTGAATCGGCCTGAGCAGAACCAGGAGGAAGGGCAGAGACAAGGATGAGGCGGGAGAAGGAAGGGGGGAAGAGGAGGAGGAGGAGGAGAAGGAGGAGGAGGAGGAGGAAGGATGAGGGAGGAGACGGAGTATGAGGAGGAGGGGGAAGGCGAGCGCAGGGAATATTTGTTTGATGGAGCATGTTCTCACTCAGCTCCTGGTGAACCCTGGGCGGGAGGATGAGAAGGATGATGAGGAGGAGGTGGGAAGCGAAGGAGGAAGAGGGGGCGACGCGGATTAAGTTTGCCCCTCTTGGGTTCGAAAAGTCTCCTCTTGGAGCCCTCTTGGGGCGCTTATGGTGGCTCTTGGGTCCGTCTTGGAGCCATTTGGGGAGCCTTTGGGGCTCTCTTGGGGCCTTGTGGTGCCCTCCTGGGAGCCTCGGGGGCCATCTTGGAGGATATCGAGCAAAGAGCGGGGAGCCTCCATTAGCATTGCCCTTCTGGAGTCCCAGAAACCGCTACTTGGAGCCCTCTTGGGACCATCTTGGGGTCTTCTTGGGCTCCTCTTGGGTCTCAATTGGGCCCTCTTGGAACCTCGAGGCATCGGAAGGCCATCGGAAGCGAAAGGGCGAGAAGGCTTGACTCATTGATTGACCCTATGTGCTCGAAGGTGTGTGGCATCTTGGGGGGTTCCTTGGGAGGCCCCAAGCCTTCTTGGACCCGTCTTGGAGCGGTCTTGGAGCCGCTTGGAGTATGTTGGGTCTTGCGCGATCTTGCGCTATCTTGAGCCATCTTGAAGGTCGTCTTGGGCTCTCTGAGGCCATCTTGGAGCTATCTTGGACCATCTTGAACGCCCTAACGCGTCACGACCCCCCTCCCCGTCCAGACCCAGGGACGTTAGTGGCACCCCTCCCTGGCGTCCCTGTCGCAAACTGTTTGGCTCACTCTCACCCATTTTCCCAACACATAAGTAGTACCCGAGTCTCAGCATATTCAGCGGTCGTCTGTGGATGGACGGCTATTGGGAACCAATCCAGACCCCACGTGCGCGACGCTGTGGCGAGGTGCGCCACGCGTGCCAGGCGCGCCACGCGTAGCAGGCGCGCCAGCCACCCTTGGGCCCAAGCATGCCAGGCACGTCTGGTGCGCCAGCTGCGCCACGTGCGCCGAGTGTGTCGCATGCTCCAGGTGCGCCCGGGCACATCGGGAAACATGTCGGCACCCACCGTCCCTGTCGAAAGTCAATGCGCAATCGCGGCGGAGTGGCCATCATGATGTCTGGCACGCCTGCCCTTTCAAACACCAATGCAAAGTGATCGCGGGGTGCCCGCGCAGAATCCAGATTTAGCGCGAAGTGCAATTTGATTTGCTCTTGACAGGGATGGTGGCCCTGCGCACAGCAGGCCATTCGCTGGCATAAGGTGCGCCCCCCGAAAATGAACCAAGATTTTGCCGCGAAGTTCACTTTGCATTGCTGTTTACAGGGATGGCGGGGGGTGCATTGTGCCAGGTGTGTCGCCGGTCGGGCTGGGGAGGGGGTGCATATACATAAAAACAGTAGTCAAGCTCCCTCGAAGGACGGCCATCTCACTCCCACTCGCCCTCCCACAACATAAGTAACACTCGAGTCTCAGCATGGGCAGGGGCCGCCATCGACCACCATCGGAAACCGATGTACACGCCAGCCAGGTGCACGACGCCCGCGAGGTGCACCGCGGGTGCCAGGGCACCCGCATCACCCCTGTCAAATAACATTGCAAAGTGATTGCGGGCCGTCCGCGCATGATCCACATTTAGCCGCAAAGTGCAATGTGTATGGCTTTTGTCAGGGATCATGAGCCTGCACAGAGCAGTCAATATGAAGCCCCCACCCGCCGCCCCCTTCTATTTAAAACCAGTGCAGCAAAATCGCGGGGCGCCCGCGCATGAGCCAGCTTTTGCCACATGGTGTACCTTGCATTGTGCGTTGAGAGGAGCGGTGGGCCTGCGCAGGGCGAACATTTTGAGGGCACCGCCGCCGTCCCCATCAAAAAATAATGCAAAGTGATCATGGGGCGCCCGCGCGCGGTCCAGATTTTGCCGCAAAGTGTATTTTGCGTCGTGTTTTGACAGTGATGATAGGCTTGCGCAGAGCAGTCGAAATGAGGACACCCTTGCCTTCCTTGTCAGGACCATGCGACGTGCTCACGGGGCGCTCGCGCAACGTCCAGCTGTTGCCGCAATGTGCACTTTGCAGGTCTCTGTTGACAGGGATGGCGGGGGGTGGGTCTCATTGTCCCAGGTTCGTCGCCAGACGGGTGGTTATCTATTGATCGGAGGTTGGGGGGTGAGATCGAAGTGGGGCGGAGAGACCCCAGTGGAGAATCGGTTTCGGTTTCGGGTTCGTGTTGCGCGCGTTGGCGAGGCGAAGCTGCGTGGGCGGGCGAGAGGAGTGAACCCTCCTCTGGCTAGGGTGCGGCGAAGACAGAAGTCTG